GCAGACCGAGGTCAGCAGAACACAAGGCACCGCGCAGCAGTCCGACTCCAGCACGCAGGCCACAGCAGACCGACCCCACCAAAGCGCCGTGGCAGCTACATCAATCACAGCCAGACGCAGTAACGACCACGGCAAACGACCACATCAAACACCGCAGCAACTGGCAACACTGGACACGGCTTTCAGGACAGGAGCCACGACTAAAACGACGCCCAGCGACGACTGGCGCGACCAGCTACGGCCCAACACGACAAGCAGAGCCACCGAGCAGCTGACCCAACGACTCACCGACCAGCAATGCTATCACCCAGCGGTACCGACCAAACGGCCCACGGACCAGCAGTGCCACCGCCCACCCGCCGAACAACAGACCCATTGACCAGCAGCGCTACGGACCACTCGCCGACAAGCAGAACCACTGATCAGCACACCCACCCCACCGACCACCCATCCACCAGCAGGGCAACGGCGACCGCGACAACCGCCCACCAGCATAACGCAAGCAGACGGGCACAGCTAACCACGACAAGCCACGACAACCAGGCCCACCGACCAACTGACCCACAGACTTACCGACCAGTAGCGCCACCGCCTCCCAGCACCGACCAGCTAACCCATCCACCAGCAGACCTACCGACCACCCACCGACCAGCAGCACCACCGACCAAAAGAGCCACCAAACAACCACACGCCAGCAGACTTCCGACCAGCAGACTTACCGACCACCTACCCTACGACCAGCAACCTCCATCGTGTTCACTGACGCGCACAGGTTCCCTACCCCGTGACCAGCCCGGCACCATGCCCGACTCCTTACCTGACCCCCAGCCCGACGCCCAGCAAGGACCGAAGGTCAGACTCATACGGCGCTTGGAAAGAAGCAAGCTCAAGGCGTCGGAGCAGGAGGCTCGAATTCAAGATGCCAATTCGTTCATAGCACTACAAATGTATCCACTCAAACCGTCAACTTCAAAATGATTGCAAGACCGACGAGCACGTTGCATGCCGAGTTGATGCGTTCAGCCGTGAAGTTTGTGTACAACAGCGAAGTCGCTAATTCGTGCGTGTTTAACCAAGTTTGTAAACGCGCCAACAACGATGGAGGAATCTATCGACTATGTGATACACTTGTTGCACATGGGCAACAGTTTGACAACATATGGCAGGCCTTCGTTCAAAGCTGATTGCAAGTGGTGTACAGGCCTGACAGTATCACATCAAACAGGTGGCGCATAACCCTCTTCACAGAGGCAACATGAGCGGCCTCCCCTAATTAACCCTCTGCTGCGGCCCGCCTACTTCTGCATTTCCCCGCATCCACCCCTCGCTTTTCTTCTTCTCCTCCCCCCTCTTGTGGGACGGGTGCGGGTACGTTTGTGTGTGATGTGCGCACGTGGGTGGCGGGCAGGGCGGGGGGCTGTAGCGAGGCCGGCTCCATCGGAAACTTTCGAAAGAAGGCCGATTCGCATGTTCAGGCCTACGTCAAGGCCAACGAAGAGGAGAAGGAGGAGGAGGAGGAGGAGGAGGAGGAGGAGGCGGATAGAGATGTCAGGCAAGATTTTTGTCTGGGGGGTGGTTCGGTAGCCTCGCTCGACGATGGGACCGCTCAGAGATGCTGGAGTGTCCGTGCACATACTTGAGCCTTGAGTCTCAGAGGCTATGGGACTGAGGGTGGCATCATCCATCCGTTTCACGTCTTGCCTGCAGCTCCCAATACCCTTTCAATTTCTACACGCCACTGTGACACCATGAGACAAGAAATGTGATCTTCGCAAGCTTCGCTCGACGATGGAACCGCTCAAAGATGATGGAGCGTCCGTGCACATGCCAGAGCCTCGAGCATCAGAGGCTCTGGAACTGAGAGTGGCGCCATCCAGCCTCTGGGACGGGTCGTTTGTCCGCATGGCCCCAAAAAGGACGTTCAGGACATCCAGTGGTGCATGTGTTTTTGTCGATCGTCACCCGAGTTGTCCGTTCACGTCTTGTCTGCAGCCCTCAGTGCCCATTTCGGATTCTACATGGAACGGGGCAGAGAGGAGGATTTCATCATGGTTGGGCGGGTTTTTTTCGCTGGACAGCCTGCTTGTATAGCCTTCTGGCGGCCAGAAAACATCGTAACTTCTGTCGTAACGGTCTCTTCCCCTTCGGTCCACTCACCCTCCCAAGCGTCGTTCGCACGCGTTCGAATCGGTGGCACACCCTCGCCAAGTGTGTGGGGAGACTCTGAATTGATTCAGCCTGCGCTGGAGGACTAGGGTTGGCGATGGTGCTTGGAGGTGGGGGGGGAATAGGCATTCTGAGAGCATCTTTACATTGGCCCTGCGCTGCGCTGCACCGACCTTCAAGCATACTGGTTCGGATATGATGCGGTGAGCGCGGAGGCGCCCGCCGAGTCGACACCTTCGCTGACGTCCCTCGGCAAGCGGTTCTCGACGGCACCTTTGCATCGGCCTTTCCATCGAAGGTGTGAAGGGGGGCGGGGGGGGTAGGATGCTGGAGGCGGAGGAGGGCGCGCGAGTCGACCGCTGTGAGCGCGTTGACCGCCACTGCTAAGCTTCAACACTGAACGTGCCGACGCCTGACTTACGCACAGTAGCCGTGCTGTTGTTCCCTATGAGGGCGGCCCGTGCCACCGATGCAGCAAAACTTGTAGAAATATGTGGAGGTACGGGATATGGAGGAGGAGGAGGACGAGGAGAAGGAGCAGGAGGAGGAGCGCACGTGACCCAAAGAGAAAAGGGCAGGCGGACAAGAGCAAGAGCGAGAAGAGAGCAAACGAATCCTCGATCCCTAGTGGAGCAACGCGGCCAGGCCTGGGCGTCGTCGGAGAAGTTGGGCAAGGCGAGTATCCTCTGCTTTCAAGATCTGCCCTCCTGCGAGGCCTCCCTGATGGCGAAACGAATGATACAGTGTGCACAGAATGCCAACGTAAACAGCAATGGGCGCCAGTTGAGGAGGAGGAGGAGGAAGAAGAGGAGGAGACGGAAGCGAGACTCGACCGCCGCGAGCGTGTCGACCGCCAAGGCCGAACTTCACAAGGTCGAACGTGTCGAGGCTTGGCTAACGCATCGTCATCCGTGCTGCGTTTCTGCGTCAGTGTGGGCCGTGCCACCGATGTACTTCATCTTGTGGAAGGATATTAAGGTTCAGGAAAGCGGGAGTGGGTCAGCGATGCTTGTATCCAAGCCACAGCTTCAAGCGGTGACCCTCGGTGAGGGAGTCCAGTCACGGAGACCGCAGTTTCAGGCGATGGCCCCTGGTGAGGGCATCCAAAGAGGCGCTGACTCGTCCAAACCACAGTTTCCAGCGATGGCCATCGGTGAGAGCATCTACGCCAAATGCATCACCCAGGCGGCAATTTCATCAGTATGTCCACTCCCTCGGTGAGGGCAGTTTAGAAGTAAACTTCTAACTGCCCTCGGTGAGAGTTAGAACTGAGAGCTGGCCTCGTTGACCCTTGTCATGGGCGGGACCGGCTGGGTAGAGGAGGAGGGCTGGTGAGTCCTTGCGCTACCTGGCCATACAGCATACTTTGCATGCTCTACTCCTTGTTTCTCATTGTGACTTTTTGCCCCTCTACTTTCTTACCGCTGCTAGGTCAGGCCTGCCTCTTTGCCGTGACTTTAATCTCTCTGGCAAACGCTACATGCAAGCGTTGCACCTAAAGTCCGCGCAACGTAGAAAGGAGCAGGGCGTCCAGCAGAGGGGAGACGATAGCCAAGACCGAGGAATTGGTTTTACTCTCTTTCCCCTGTTTGGGGAAACCAACCAATTCCGACACCGCTGCTCCGTAGACATCCACCAAGGTGCGTTCTGACCAGAATTTCGAAGCGAATCCAGCGGTGGCGACGAAAGCCTGTCGGGAGGCCCAGAAACGTCGACAACCAATAAGGCAAGGGTAGCGGTATCGGTACCTTTTCCTCCTGTGACCCTTGGTCCCCATGGGTGATGTTCTGACCTCGTGGTCGAGGCATCCCCAGCCGCGGTGGACACACGCCGCCCACCCTCAATTAAGGGCTTCCAAGAAAGGGGCGTTCAAGAGGGGAGTTCGCAAATCATGGCTGGGGGCATGTGCGCGGACGAGGGGGGGGGGACCACGGGACGTATTGAAACAAGAAGCGGGAGTGCTGAAATGCGTGGAGATATCATGGCCCCGGCATTGATATCCCCCCCTAGCCCTCACCCCCTCTTAGGAACAAGGGAGAGCGACATCACCACCAACAACAAGAAAAACCGCTGGGAGGAGCCAGGGGGGCTCCTCCTGGTGGTGTGGCCCCTCCCTCTCGCTGGAGACATCCCCGTATCCCCGGCTCCGGGGAGGCATCGTGAACCTCCTCGCAGGAGGTGGCCTCTGGTGGTGGTGGTGGTGGTGGCGTCGCTCCTCCCATCCCCGACCCCTCTTGGACTCAACGCCGTCAGGAGTGCTCCTGCCAACTCGAGCGCGCGGCGCGGCAGAGGGGCGCGGGGGCGGACACCGGGCTGCCCCTCGGCCGAACCGCTGTGCGCCTGTCATGGGCACCCCCTCCTGCCGAGGTTCTTCTAGAGGCCTCTCAGATGGGTTCCAAGCAGATGAGGTCGGAGGATCGCGCCGCATCGCCGATGCATCGGCGTCGGCGATGCCTCGGCGCCGTCGGCATGGAGAAGTTCGGTGTCCACGTCGAGCCGCATCGGCGATGGCATCGGCGATGCGACACGATCCTCAGACCCCACCTACTCGGACATCATCTTGGAGGCCCAGCTCTTCTTTGTGCTCTGCTTGGCACCTGCGATCCCAGACATGCTCGCGGAGTGGAACAAAATCACGACGGACAATGTTTGGCAATCTTCGGCCTCAGGGTGGCCTGGCCGGCCCCGTGTCCCAGGATGGAAAAACGGCCCCGGGGAAAGGGTCGGGACTTCCAGGGACTGCGTATAGAAACAACCAAGACATCGCATCTCTTGGCCTGGTACCTGCGAGTAGTCCTCCCTTTATCCTGTCTGTCCGACGCCCTCCCTGCGGCCGAGCCCGTGTTCAGCGGCACCAGCCGCAAGATGACCGTTCCACCAACGGCGGTCGGGACGTCAACGTGGAAGGGAGAGGCTCTCATCTCCTTCGCGGCTGCCAAGGCCACAGGCACGGCGAGGCTGACGCCCCCCTGGGGTTGAGGGGGTGGTGGAGAGGGAGGCGCGGAGGCCGGATCGTACAACAAGCACACCCCATGTGGCTTTGGCTGCACAGGGTCCTGGGCGGTTGGCGGAGTCGGCGCTTGCACGGAGGCGTGCGTGTCCCACAGCCGGGAGTCACAGAAAAGGCTGGCTGGGCCGCGATCAATGAGCACCTGGAGCGTGACGTTGTCATACTGGACGTCAACGTTCAAAATTGTTGCGACTGGAAATGGCGTCTGCATCCTGCCACCCTGGCCAAGTGGAACATTGAAATCAGGGTTCTCGACTGCTGTGCAATAAACGTCGTATGAGCCGTTCGTGGGACCTTCAAATATTCCAATGAGGGTTTGTTGGGTGCTGGACACTCGCTGCCAGCGCCCGTACTGCTGAAGCTCTGCTGCACCAGGAACGACCTCATGGATAGTAGTGACGGCGTATAAGTCGCACCACAAGTATCCCAACGCGTCGAGGTTTGCGCTCAATGTCCGCCACCGCGCTTGCAGCGGTTGATGTGTGTTGGGCTGCATGTTAAAGTCTCACTTGTGAGGAATAATCATTGCGGATCCCCCCCACCCGCGCCCACTGTGCCCACTATGTGTGTTCAATTGACGTGTCGCCTCTGGCGCTCGCACCCTCTGCGTTGTGCCCCTGGGACCCCCGCTACCACGTCTTTCGCCAGTTGACCTACCCCGATACATCTCCAGACTGTATACAAAAAATCGCGCTTTCCTGTCCGGGCCGCTCGACCCGCCCGTGAGCGTGGTCTCGCCCGGCCCGTCGGGTAGGGACCGCCGCCCAGCCCGCCCGTCTGGGTCCGCTGGCCCAGCTCCGACCCGCCCGCTTTACGGCGCCGCCCGCCCGACCCCGCCCCTGAGTGTCCGCCTGATCCCTTGCATGGACGCCCGCGCGCCCGCTCTGGTGTCCCGCCTGCCAGTCCCGCCCATCAAGGTCCGCCCGACTCGCCTGTTAGGGTCGGCCCGCCCGACCCGCCCGTGAGGTTCCGCCCGCCCGGCCCAGTTGTGTTATCCTGTCGGGTTTAACCCAGGAGCTGGCATGGCAAAAGACGCTCTGCAGAGTATGTTCAGAAACGGAGAAGGCTGGCATGGAGGGATTGGGGTACACATGTTGATGAGCACGCAAGCCGCCAAGAACGAACCGTCTTACAGTGAGTGTTGTCGCTGTGGCTGTCAGCTTCGCTTTGCGCGAGGCACTGACCATGGCGCACCGAGCCCAACTTGCGTTCATATCTCGTGCCAAATCCCTGCGTCTTTTGGCCCCGCCCCATGTCAAACATGCCAATATCACAATTGTGGGTTCAAGATTCCGCGTCCCTTCTCACACAGGCGCCCCCCCAAGTGTTGCAGCGGAGTCAAGCGGCAACGCAACTGGAAGATCGTTGAAGGCTGCGCATACTGGAAGCCGACGACCGCGATGGGCACGTACGCCTCGAGACTCTCGGTCCGCCACCGCCGCACCGTTGTGAGTATGTTCTCGGCAGTGCTGTCCGTTCCGGTGTGGTCCGTCACCGCGCAGGACACCTCGTACAGCGCGTCGGGCGCGAGCCCCGTGACCAGCACGGAAACCGCAAAGCCGCCGCCGGTGACCGTGACGTGGCCGCCGAGCTTGATCTCGTCGGCAGTCAGGCAGGCGCACGCCTCTGAAAGGGCCCCAGGACACACAAAGAAATATACACAAATAAAAATACTCCCCATATTTTCACATATTTTCTTGGTTTTTGTCTTCCCCCCCACTTCCCATATTTTCCTATATTTTCTGGGAATCGACGATTCATTGTGTCTGTGTGTTTTTTTTCCCCTCCTGAGCCTCGTCGGCCGACGACAGGGCGACGGCAGCGCAGTACGCGTAGCCGGGCGCGGACGTCTGCACCACCACCGCGATCTGGGAGCCGTCGGCCCAGCCGCCGAGGAGCGAGATCTCGGGCGGGGGCGCGCAGTCCACGCACGTGCCGGTCTCCAGGGTCCGCTCGGCGGCGCGCACGGCCTCCCAAGCCGAATGGCCTCCCGTCGTGCTCGATCTCGCACCGCAGTAGGCCAGATATCGACTGCACGCAAGAGTGACCCTGGGCAACGAGTGGCCTTTGGTGCGCTGCTTCTTGGGGGGCCGCGGGGGGGCCAAACACCAGCGCGCAAGACGCTCCTGTCGCATCGCGTCCGGCGATCGGGGGGCCCCAGTGGGCCCGCACCAGAGGTCTCTCTGGCGAAACGTCAGTCTTACGTCTAGTCGAAGATACTTGGTGCTCGGAGTATAGGCCCCGGGCAGGGTGGTCTGGTGCCGTTTCGCCGTCCGCACCAGGGTCATGTGCGTAAATTCGGCAGAGCTGGACAGGTTCGACAGCGGGGTGGCCTCTTCGAAGCTTGCTATCAACTTACAGTTGCACCCCTGTGAAGAAAAACACAAGTCCTCACCATAGGCCATGCCACTCGAATAGTACGTCATCCCATGGCACTCCATGTGATCGAAGCACTGCGACTGGCAGTCCACGATGGATGAAACATTAAGCCATGCAAGCGATGCAACATCGTAGTCCTGACGTGTATTCTCGTTACCAATAAGCGCCCATTCTGCCTCGTAAGGGTCAGCGATAACCTGGACGATGCCCCAGCTCTCCAACTCAACGTAAGTTGGTGCCCGCATCTTGTATGAGTTTCTCATCATTCCGCAGGATACGATCGCCTTCTCACTGACCTCGAATGAGATCGTCGCCTGGACGCTACTGTCCACAACAAAGCTGGTCATGTTGACGACAGGAGCCGTCGCAGACTCGCTGGAAGTGCTGGAATCTGGCAACTTGCTCCCGCTAATGGGGAGTGTGTACCGGCACCAGAACGCCTGCAGCACTGCAGTGCTATTGGGCTGGATCCACCGCGCACCAAATCGACTCCACAGCTCGTCGTCCCGCCAATCGCAACAACCCGTTTCCTGCTCCACCGCAAACTCCCAAGAGGAAACGGGTTGAGTCACGCCGCCGCACCTGGAGAGACCGAAAGGTACCGATACCGCCCCTCCCTGGACCTCTCCTGGGGTGCGTTCTGACCAGGATTTCGAGGCGGATCCAGCGGTGGCGACAAAGGCCTCCTGGGAGGCCGAAAAAGGGGAATACGGGCGAAGGATAGCGGTATGGGTACCTTTTCCTCCTCTGAGCACCGCCACTGCGAGCTCGTCATGACGCCGTCGTCCAATGCCAATATCACTGCAGCGGGCCTGGTCGCCGAGGTCGTCTCCACGAAGATTGCCAGCTCGTCCCCGGCAGCGAGCACTCCATTTGACCTGATAGCCTTCGAGGGCAGAAGATCCACTCCTATAATCATCACCCCGACAAGCGAAACAATTTAGTAAACGCACCCTGGGAAGGATTCGAAAAGGGCAAGACTGTTTAGTAAACGCCCAAGGCCGCTTAGTGACCGCCATTTGTCGGGCCGGTTTTTCCTCCCTTGGAACCTGCGCGGCATGGTCCAGTGCGCTGTACTGCGCTATACTGTTCATGCGCAGATTGGCAGCAGTAATGTCCTGCGGTGCCGCGGCGCAAATGATGATGAAGAGGAGAATGAGTTGGAGGAGGGAGGGGTCACTGCATCGACCTTGCAGACGTGCTGCAGCGGATTGTGGCGTGGAGTTTGTCAATGCAAAACCCCCAAACGGCGAGCGAAAAACGAAAAGAATTTCACGTGGTTTTTTCGTAGTCTGCCTTCCAGGCCAAAAACAACGCACGACACTCACTTCAAAATCCGTAACGAAACTCTCCCGGACAATTCGGGTTCACCCAATTGTTTTCCGAACGAAATCCGCTCTGCGATGTTGGCGCCATGACATCTCATGGCAGTCAATGAATCAATCCTCGCCGCACATAACCATAACATCCTGTTGGCACCGCAGCAGCAAGTTCTGCCAAAACATCGCTGCTGCGAAGTGCAGGCCACAACGGCAGATCCGAGGCTCCGAGGCGAGATTCCGAGTGCAACCGAGTCAAGACTTGCCGAACGAGCCAAGCTCAGGCCGTGAATAAATGAGAGCGAGGGATCGGTTCAAAAAATCACATGACTGTGGTGAAAGAGAGGACGAAACGAAAGTGTAAACACCGCTCTGAACACACTATGGATGTACACAAAGGCTGACGGCCATATGTCACATATGACGCTGCTCGTTTGCTGCGGCATGCTTTGAAATCCGGTTCCTCGGTTGGCCCTGCTTTGCAGTGAAGCGCAGCGCAACGCATAGCATATACATGTAGACATGTGGCGGGTTCCAGAAACCCTGAACCCAAAAATATGGCCGTCTCTTGGGGGAACGCATCTTTTACTTTCGCGGGCTACCGCCGGCGTCTCCAGCCGCGGAGGTGCCCTCGTTTTACATCGGCTGCCTTCCGCCGCCTTCCGCCGAGGGAGAGATGACAACTCCTTCGACCCTTAAGAGCGAGGCCCTTTCTGAAACGCCTCATACAAGCATGCATCCGCCACCGTTCCGCGAGGCACGAGTTGGTGTGTTCCCAGGTCCCAGCGGCCCTGCGCCCTCAGTTTTCAGGACTGCTGGACTCAGGGGCCCGAGCCCCCAAAATTGCCAGATGGTGTTGGAATGACTATAGCGTTCTCGCGTTTTCGGGCTTCCGACCGCGCCACACGGCCCAAGAGGCACAACAAATCGCCCCAAGAGGCCCACAAGAAGGCCCCAGACGGCCCAAGAGGTCCCCCCAAGAGGCCTCCAAGACGGCCCTAAAAGGCCATCTTGCCACCAGGGGGGGAACTCGAACTGATATGTCGCGCCCTGCGCCCCAAGATGACCCCCGAGACCGCCAGCAAGTCCCTGAGAGTTCTCCACACATGTCGAATATGCATCTGACCTATAACCCAGGCGCGGCGGCGCACGGCATGCCGATGTTTTTTTTTATGTGTGTGTGTGATTGTGTGTGATGATTGTTTGTATGACTGTGTGTGATTGTGTGTGATTGTGTGTGATTGTGTGTGTTCGTGTGTGTGTGTGTGATTGTGTGTGTGTGTGCCACTGCTGCCCGTGTCGAAGGCCGCGCCTCGCCGCCCTGCATCCTCGGCACGCCCGCGACAGACTGCGCGCTCCGAGCGGCTTCGCCGCCCCCTCCGCCGCCCCCTTCCCCTCACTTCCCCTCGCTGTGCCCGAGAAGTACACCCTGCGAAATGCTTAAGAAATCATGGGTTAAGAAATTCATGGTCTCAGAACTTGAATTAAAACCCAACGTTTCTATTACAATCTTAAGATTTACATTGAAACATTAAGAATAATCGAGACTCTGGTCGAAAGCTTAAGTTTTCTTAAGCATCGCCTAAGGTGTAGCTCCATGCGCGTCCCGCACGTAGCCCGGCCGGCGTCCGCACCGCTCTCTTGTGGAGAAACACCAGAAAAGGTGCCGACAGCGCCCCTCCCCGGACCTCTCCTGCGGGAGGCGTTCCGACCAGGACCTCGAAGCACATCCAGCGGCGGCGACGAGGGCCCCCCAGGAGGCCGCAGATGGGGGGAAACGGGCGAGGGGTGTCGGTATCGGTACCTTTTTCCTCCTCTGAGCTTGCACTCTTGCGCCCGCTGGCTTGAGAAGACTGTGTGTGTGTCTGTTGTGGTTCTTTTGGCAATTCCCAATGGGGTCTCGGCCCATCCTGCCAGCCGCTCGGAAAAGGTGCCCCCTGCCGGCGTTCTCTCTCAAAAGGTGGCCCACGTCCAAGACGGCAGAAATGGCCCAACGAGAGCCAACGATGGCCCCAAGATGTGTCCAAGACGGCTCAAAATGCTCCCAAGCTAACATGCTTTAAAACGGCCCACTAGGTCGCCAAGAAGCCTCCAAAACGGCCCCAAATTCTTTGTTATCAAAAATGTTCTTTCCAGCCAGAGGCAGAGTTGAACGATTAACGCAAGGCCTTCTTTTGGACCCGTTGCATCTGGGCAAGCTTTGAGGAACCTGGATGCAGTTCTTGCTGCACGTTCCCCAACTGTCGCCTGTCATACTGATTGAGCTGGGAAGAGCAGACACCTGCTACCTTCCTGACAGCTTGGGTGGCCACGCAGCCACAGGCCAGAAAGACTGTGCCCCCAAAGTCCTTGTGATAGGCCAAGGTGTGGCAGCTGTGCACATTCGCGCCATTGACTGAACTCCTAGTGGGCACCAAAATCATTCCCTTGAACGAGCCCTGGTGGCAAGGGGTCACTAAAAACTTATCGGACAACTTGTATGGCGCACATCTTCCACAACAGTGACAGTGGACCTGGGAACCAATCTCCCACACTGGTTGGTGGGCTCTCAGGAACAATTGAATATTGATATCTCGCCTTTGGGGTCTCAAAACGGCCCTCCCTGGGCACCCGATTCCCGTCTGCTTCGGTCGATTCGAGCAAGCTGTGGCCCAGGTGCTGACGGACCTGGAAAGCAGTAGCCTGGGCATGGGACCTGCTGTCCCGCGCAGCAGCAGACACGCGAACACTACCTGCCCATTAGATCGCAACACGGTCCGCCAGAACATTCAACTGAAAAAAACAAGGGGTCAGTACCCTGTCCGCTGATGTCCTCCACCTCCCAGTGGCTGTCCACTTTGGCAAGCACGACTCCTCTGGTCATGTGTTCTGCCAGCGCATATTTGACACCCTGCCACGCATCGAGGTGGCACTTCGGGAAGATTCCGAGGCGGACTTTGTTATAATTCTTCGCTACGTAAATGGAATCCGTCACAAAGAAGCCGTCTGCAACAGGGAGGACAGCTTTCAATAACTGCAGGAAGCTCATCGCTCCCCCCCTGTTGACCGATTGGCGCCATCCAGGCGCGTTGCCGAAACTGGCTGCGTGGGCGCGGAAATCTCCGGGGCCATTCTGCCCCCCAGCTCGGAGGCCTCTGAACACAACCCAAGGCCAAGCCACCCTACGGACGGCGGGGTCCTGAGTGTCAGGCCCCCCACTGGCGCCTCCCCCTCCAAAGATAAAACCGCCCACCATAGCCTCCCTCAGCCCCTCCCCCCCCCGTAGGTCTGGAAATCCCCCCCCTCGGGGGGGCGGGGACACGGCGGCCCAGCTGTTTGGCGTCGGCCCTCGCAGCCAGAAGCTGAGGTCCCCCCCCCATTCCTCAAGGGCCCGCCGTCTCACAAAGTCAGAGACCTGGGAAAACTCAGCATTCTTGGGGCCGCCCCATTCACGATGCACATCACACCCCACCAATTCACACCCGTTCCACGAATTGGCTGCAGCGGCCTCCCAGAGAAGACGTTCCTTGCTTTGGGCCAGGGCTTCGAAAAGATCGGAAAGCTCAACCTTGCCCCGCCCAGGGGTCACTCTCCCAAGCCCGACGTCCCCAAGGCTTCCAATCTACCTGCATCCAGAAGGCTGGCGATCGTGGCGGCCACTGGGGTGCCTGCGCATCGCCGTATGTTTCCTGTTGTCTTGGACTCCAATCCAGCTGCGACTGCGCGCCAAACCCGCCTCGTCTCATCGGCATCAAAGCTAGCATGACTTAGTATCTGGAACCAAGCTTCAATCGCATCAAACATCGCAAAGAAGGCAGGGCCTCTCCGACCACACTCCTGAGCTAGAAGAGTGGGCAGGCAGCTACCCCCCCTGGAGACCCCCCCGTAAGCCTACCCAACGCCCTGCGCCAACCAAGGACAATGCTGGGTGGGGCGCCATGGACCTCAGCAGAATACCTAAATTTAAAAAAGCCGAGGTCAACGCCATCTTCCGCGCCCATGTCTTGCACAACCTGTTGCCTCTGGCCAGCTTGCCCTGCCTTTGCTATCTGCGGTTGGCGCCGGTCCCCGCGTTGGCCTGCTTGGGTCGCGAAGACTTAACCCGGCCGCGATCGACGCCTAGATCAGCTGCTACTCGCTTGGCCTTCGCGCTGACGCCTTGCCCTCCGAAGAAATCCTTGGGTCTCGCGACCAACGCCCAGGGCGAGGAGATGATGGCCGATTTCGGAGCAATCTGCAACTTAATCGCGCGCAAGCCCTGGGCCAATTCTAAGCCAATCTCCGAGAGCTCAGCAACAACTCTGTCGCTGTCACCACGAACGCACTGCACAGTGCCATCGACCCAGGTGCGCAATGTAGGTACAGGCCTGCGAACGACAATCTTACTGCAAACGAAAGGAAGCGCTGCTCTGCCTAGATCAACTGCACCACTGCTGCCAAGAAAGAAAACATTCCTGGCTGCACAGCCTGAGAGAAAGCACCGGCCTCCCTCCGAAACCTGGTGGCCACGTGGACCTGGCGCTCCAGGGCCAGGTAGCACGGGGGAAACTCAAGTTCCGAAGCGTGGTCCAGAACCAAGTCCCATCGGAGACTGTCGTAAAAGCCTTTGCCATCCCAGAGCAAGCACGCACTCTTGTGGTCAGACAGAGAAGAACGCGCTGCCTGTTCACCCCTGAACAATCTCAAAAAAGCAACCTGCACCGCAGAGCAGCCAACGAGAGCCGTGCCCCACGGCCCCGCACGTTCCTTTGTCCAGACCGCTCTGTCCAAGGTCCTCAGACGCCCCCCAAAACGGA